TTTTCGTAGAAACATTTGTCTAATCACCAAAAAACACTTCAAAAAAAATCTAGAAATGCCTGCAAGAAAAAATTCTGATTTATTTATTAGGAGTTAAAACATTTTATAGCATTTTCCCGTACCTAATACTGAACCAAAGAAATTATGAAAAAAAAAACAATCAAAGAAATACAGAAATTCAAAACAAAATTTGACAATATGTTAATGAATTTTTTTCCGTTTGTAATTTTGTTTAATTTGTACATTATTTAGCTGATTTTAGACATAAAAACTTAGTTATAAACCCTTTTTATTTAATTGCTTAGCAAATACTGGAAAATGAGTTGCTATTTAGATTTAGTTAATAGTTTTAAGTTATTGGGCTTCGATTTGGTTGATTGTGACAAACAGTGCAGGAGATCCGATGCAGCTCGACATCGTAGAAGTTGTTTTCGACGACTAACTTCTTGGCCAGAAGTTAATTTTTGTACTTAAATCAGGAAATGAACTTCCAATCATACAATAAGAACGTGAAGTCTAGCCCAAAGGCAACAAAATCCTGTAATAAAGAATTTGCAGGCTTTTATTCACTTCAACAAAACTACAGGAAAGATCACCGGCTGAAATCGAACAAAACGAGTGATTTTCTTGCTGATTTGAACAAAAATAGGAAATCAACGAAGATAATGAAGAACGCGAGATGAAATGAATGCCAGTCAACGCTTTTTGACAGACATCGAGATGTACAATGGACCCCACAAGGTATTTATTTTTCAAATTTCGAAACCAGATCATAATCTTGTTAATGAAAAACAGGATTAAGTCTTTAGAAAATTTGTTTGGGCAGCAAAAACCAACATTGCCCTAGGTTTCGTTTTACGTAATATAGGAACAGGCAAATAACTTCGCCTTTTTGCTCTGAAAAGGATTGACGACTTGACAAAGTCAACAAGCAGGATATCTTTAAAGAACACAAGAGAGACAAAAAAGAAAAATGCAAACTGATTCAAACTGATCACTAACGTCACTATTTTTGCAGCATTGCTACAAACATACCTAGAGGTGCAGAAGCAGTGATTCACGAAACACTTTTGAGAAATCATCAAATTGACTGTTTGATTTTCGACTCAAGAAAGCAAGCATACAAGGAAAACCATACAATGATGTAAACATACAATTATCTATTTGTTTCGAGCACTTGCTTTTCGTTTTCGAAGAAGTGCAGTGGTTGAAATTTCCAGGTCGAGAAATTGTAATGAGTGTGTCAAAAATCCTTTGGATTAAAAATTTATTTTAAAAATTGAAGACAGAGTCGAGCAAAATATTTTTCTCTACGACATCAACATTGAAGATGGAGACTTCATGGGTGACTTAGTACGGAAGAGAGTTGGCAATTACGAGAATACAATGAAACTTCTAGGATACAACAATTATATTTCTTATTTATAAACTCCACAAATTCTTCAAATGCTTACGATGCCCAACTTGCGATAAATTTCTCAATCTGTCCTAAAATTTCAACAAGCATCCTTCGCGTTGGGAAAATTGAGTCAAAATCTTTTAACAGAAAAATTCAATTCAATGATTTGTTGCAACATCTAGAGAGCTATACTAATACTCGACCATCATCAGTGGTCTACAGTGGTCTACTTCAAATCAATTTCAAAACTTTTCCAAAATCACACGAGTAGTTTGATACTCCCAACAAGCTCGATGAACAACAGCAAACGCCGTAAGATGATTTTACGGTAAATTGAAGAACAACAACCCTCTGGACGAAAAATCGGACGATTTTCAGAAGAATCTCTAGCCTGGGATAACTGAAGAAAAAGCAATGGAAAAACATACACTAAAAACTAAAACTCCTACAGGACTGGAAAATTTTATATACCTAAACTCTATCTGGCAACAGGAAAGTATGACAACGTTTCGCGATATTCTACAGTGATATAACAACAACTATATTGCTCCTATTGATGAAGCTATAGCATTAAAGATCGAAGTTTATTATGATGAAAAAACGGGAAGATTAACTGGTGGTCCTTCAGTTGTTTTCACAGGGAAAGCAATGGCTTTCAAGAACTTTTTTTTAAAATCGAAAAACTGGGTAAATCAATCGTTGGGATTGAAGTCAGTCAATTATGTCCTTAATCGTTGTGTCAGGATAAGTCCACAGGCTTGTTTACGAGATGGGACTGCAAGGAAGAAAAGTAGAAACTCAAGGTGAAATCGAGTTTGTACATTTGAAAATATGGTCATGTCATATTTTCAAGCAACCAGACCTCAAATTAAAATCGAGAGCTATTACAAGACAATAACTCAAAAAAAGCTTCAGTGTTGATGGGTACTATAACCATTACAAGACGGTTTTGTAGGACGTAGCCTTTCTGATGATGAAATCAAACCACAAACGGACGAGCATACGAATCGAAATTGGTGAGAGGGTAGTTGGTGAGATAAAATTTAGAACAACGCAGCCAAAAAATAACGTTAGAAATAACTTTCCTGTCGAATTTTTTTCCAGTTCACTACTGTGAAAATTTTGAGATGAAACACTGTTTGGTTATGTTCAATGCAATCTCAATTTTCCAGATAAACTAAGAGCCAAACTCTCAAAATTATCAACGATTTCAAAAATATCGATGTCTCCAAAAGTGATATGGCGGAATGTTTATGAAGATATATGGGGACGAGAACAGTTTGCTAAAACAACCGCAACGACTAGTGATGTCGAGCTTCAATTTAAGCAACGATACCCTTAATACACCACTCTTCAACTTCTATTTGGATCTTGGACTACAGTGCACAAAAAGTCATCAATTAATCAAATAAAGTAATCAAATAAAGGAGAGACCAAAGCATACCATGACAAAGTATCTCAGTGACATAAAGACCGATGAAGATATCGACAGACTGTTCTTTAAGAGTATAATTTTTGTTGCAAAACACACGTATGAAACTGCGCTTTTTAAATCTACTATATAGCACTGTGAACCGGTTACGGTAGAATTGTTTATACTTTAGTACGCCAATTTGGAAATGTTGTAACTGTATTTTAGTTTTTATTACTGACTTTGCTACGTCAACAAAATTGAAAAACTCAAAACGTATACAAATTCTCTCTATTTGTTTTTGTCAGACAAAAATTTAGATAAAGGTAATCTTTTCAGAAAGGAATGAAATGCGGAACAAGGACTGTCGAGACGATTTCAGAGCAGGTTCGAAAATCAACTTTTCCCCCGTAGTTGCTGCTCGAAACACACAAAAAACAAAATAATAGAGAGTCAGGATTGTTCAAGGAGGTGTTCAGATGTACCAAAATGTTTTGCCTCTGTCGTAAAAACTATTGCTGTTGTGCTAGGAAAAGTCAAAAGCATGAGTTAAGCAGTAAAGGCCTAACTAAATGGGCATTAGAAGATTCTGAAGATGGACGGATGCTGAATTATTGTTAAGTATTGGGTGAAGCAGTGAAATTATTGTCAACTAAAAGAGGTTTTAAAACAATTAACCATGCAGTTGCAACTTATGAACAAACCAAAAAATGACTTTAGCATACTCTAGCGGTAATGTTGAATGTGATGGAATAGATACTGAATCTCTAAAGTTGTAGGAGATAACATGGCAAGATTGTGCTTGATTCAGTAAAATGATACGTTTTCTCTGTAGTTAAAATTTTTTTCAAAATTTTTCATAAAGTTTGCATTCGAGTTAACAATTCTATTGTTTCTGGTAACCAATTAAACATTTAGAATCCTAACATTGCTGTAACGGCAGAGTTGGGTGCCTAAAATTTTTTGATTTTTTTCCCCAATCATACCATCTCACCATCTGAGACCTAAAAACTATCCTAAATTATTAAAAATTATGTTCCTTATCCTAATATATTGAATTTTTATTACAAATCCTAGTACATAGGGAAATCTATAAACAATCCTAATACCTGTGAAATTCGGGCGCAGATGAAATTTACCGTCTGAAACTTACCATTTGAAACCTATAACCTGTCTTAATAGGTTAAGACATCTATTCCCTGTGTTAACAGATAGGGTGCCGACCAGAAACTCTATTGCTTATGTTAACACATGGGTTTAAGCATCCCCCAAAACGATTTGAAGCAATCATTTACTATTAACAAAGAATATCGAAGTTAGAAGTTTAAAACCATTTCGAAGACTGAAATGCTGAATCAATTGTATTGAAACAGCCATGCCAATTAAAGGATAAGTGGGCGATTGTGTTCTTCCATGACTATCTGAAAAAATTTCAAACAAAAGATACCTGAAATGACTTTGAACTTAACTTTATTGATAACTTCTTTGTTTCCTAATTTGAAACAATTTTTACTACTTATTTGCTACCTACAAATTTTGGTACCTCAGCTTCAGAACAACGCAAGACAACACAATCTAACGCAGTTAAGTGAAAAGACAGGAGCTGGTATAAGGAGTGTAGTAATGGATAGAAGCAGAGAGAAAAATGGTCATATTTAAAAAAATTATATTCATACACTCGCGCAGACACTTATGGGTATGTGATTGACACTTAACCGCTTGTATGACCAAAGTATGATATCGCAATGTCAAAGTAAGTGTGGCTAGTTTTGTCTGAGCCTCATTTTCAAAATTTTGAAAATTTTACTCGTCAACGGGATATTGGACAGATCTTGTTTATCTCAAGTCAAGTCGCATTGATTTTCTCAGCCAGACAAATTTACTTTTGCGGTATCCGTTCGTGAAAAAAATTGCATTTATCACCAGTTCAGACTTTCTAAACTACACCATTGTTCAAAGCACTCACTCTAACAAAACAGCAACCACCTTACTCAAAAAAGCAAGTAAATATTCGTTATCATTTTGAGCTGAGATATCAATTTTATTCGGATGAGTATCAATATTATTAAGCTCAAGGTATCGTTAGTTTTCCAATTGACTTTAAGAAAAGTGTTGTCAGAAGGTTATATGGGGTTAAAACCACCCGAATCACAACATTTTGCATTTTTTCAAGATTTAGACTAAAAATACTCACACATATTTGATCCAATCCCAAATTTCTGTCCTATTCAGTTCTCTTCTTGGTGACGCATGCAATGGCTCTTCGACTAATACAATTAATCGCATAGTTGCACGTGTACAATATCCATAAAAAAACCTCACCTCAATTGGACGACGGTTCGCAGCTTCAAAGGGCACAATGACCGTACAAAATTCTGCTCCTCCGAAACATGATCGCAATAAACAAATTTTATGGGTGTCTGATGCCCCCGTTTCCATTTTGATGAGATTTTTATCATCAATAACTTCAATTTTTTCGCTTGTCAACGAATGTTTAAGATCAAGAGTAAAAGCCGGGGACAAAAAAGCGCCGCCTACAAGTGTTCGGCCATAATCAAATGGTGACTTTGAGCATTTCTTTATAAGTTCCACCAATACCTCAAGTAGTTTACGAGATTCAACAAACTGAACAACTGGTGGCTCACCCTCTAAGTTGTGGGCACAGTTTCCTTTTAGGATCTCAGAGTTCTGAAATTGAGATTGAACGTTGTTGCAAAATTCAGCTAATTTAGATGTCGACCTGAGAACATAACTTAAAGTTAAAACTCGAGTGTCCGAGCTTTTTGAAAACCGGTCGGCCAATTCCCAAAAAGTGAAAACACAAATAATAACGTTTTTGCTCGATGCGTCCATTGAGTTAAAACTGTTAACAACTTCGGAGAAAAAACGGTATTCATCGATGAAAATAATTCCTTCTTTAATTGAATTAACTTTTTCTGGATCGTTTTTGGTCCAAATCTCAACTTTCGATTCTTTGAAGACATTTAGAAAATTCTGAAATAACAATTGTGATTGACCGGAAGTTCCGTCGCAAATTACAACCCGTTTGCAATGATTGGCAGCACTCCAGGCGAACACAACCTCCGCCAATTTAGCCAAGTAGACCAAAAGCATTGTTTTCCCCGAGCCGTGTGGACCTTTAACTACTAAGCGCAGTGGTTTGACTCCACTCTTCTTCGTAAGAGCGTCATAAACTTCAGCAATTATTTCCAGCTGTTCTTTGGTCCAAAGAATAACTTTCATTTTTCCTCTTTTCGACTGATTTCTATTAGACTCTAAAATTTCTTTCTTCATATCATTTTTCAGTTCTCTCAATGAATCCTCTCTAATGTTTCCGGATGTATTGGCAAATTGTTGATCAAGTCTAGTGTTCAGATCTTTCTGTTTAACTTGAATTGACTGCAAGCTATTGGATATCATTTTATCGTGTATGAGTGCAGTTGCACTGTCCATCGAACTCAATGCTACTAAACGGGCGACCGTCGTTTCAAAGTGGTCATGCATTTCGATATCACAAATTTTTGACACTTTTTCAGACCAGTTTTTCTGGAAGTTTAAAAAATCTGGCTGTTGAAACATTAAAACATGCTCAGTGTCATTATAAGTATACCATTCCTTGTTTGTTTCCAGATCTTGCATATTTTCTGAATTCCACGAAAGTTGGCAGAAAACAGCGTGTAATGGAATAAAACCAGAGCTGGAACTAGACGAACAAGGTGATGTTTTGTAGTTCGAGAGCTGCATGATAAAATCAGTGTGCTTTAGCATTTCTTTCTTTAGTTTTTCTTTCATTTCGTCTTCAAACTTTTCAACTGCTGCACCGTCCATGCCTGGTCTTTGATCACCCATTTTTCGGTTTTTAACACTCACGATAAAGATACCTTTCGATGGGTGTAAAACTAACATGTCGATTTCTACTACTCCTGATTTCGATTTAAACAGCCCATTGGTATCTAAGTTTGGTAGAATTATTATACCGTCATGATCAAGCCCAAACCCATCCAAAAACTTTCGATATAATTTCAATTCGCCTTCTTCCCCTTTTTGAATTCGTTCATAATGGCTGTTTAGTTTTTCACTCATCATCTCTGGTCCCAGAAACAATGCGGGGACTCTAACTGCAGGGACTGAAGTCACTTTGCCTTTCACTTTCCAATCTGGGTATTGTTGTTTGACTAAGTCTCTCAAAAGTCTATTATCGCTAAAGTGAACTTCCGCGCTACCCGGCCTGCAAATTTTCAAATTATTGAGCTCGTTGTGAAATTCATCCATCGTGGTCTAAAACAAACAGGAAATTATAACAAGCAGATTTTGATATGGTACTAATCGTAATATCAAAAAAGCTCCACTCTGTAAAATGGAGTTTCCAATCGTTGAAATGATCACCAAATTTTTATGTTTCCAGCATCTGTCGAACTCAAATCTGTCTTTTATTTTCTACTTTCGAATTCAAGTTTATGTTTCCAGCATCTGTCGAATTTCAGCATCCGTCAAGCGGTGTGGACCGCTCTTCGAAGGCAAAATCAGGCAATGCAAACTTTTTTTTATTTTGTTTAGATTGAAATCAGTTAAAGACTTGAATGGATGACTTGGATTTCAAAAATAGAAGTCGGAGTAACTCAGTTATCAAAAATGAACTTTTAATGCAGAGATAGAGATAAAAATATAAGCAGGCATTTGGGGCTATAAGTGTGAAGAGAAGGTGCGGGCGGGGAAAATGTCGAGGGTAAGTAAGAGCTAAAATTTTAAAATGTCAAGCTTAAAAGGGGTTGCGAAATGTGTTTTTGAGTGGTTATCATTTTCTTAAAGAAATTTTATGGTGCTTTGCTTAAAGTGCGAGTAGCCGCAAGTTAAACCAAATTGTTGCAAAATTTGTAGAAAAATTTGCAGATTTTGCATGTAGGTTCTAATCCGATGTTAGCCATTATGTCGAAATTTACAGAAAATATTTTTGGGTTTGAAACTTTTAACTTTCGAAACTTTTGATTTTCTTACTATCGTTTTCAATGCGTAAAAATTACATAATAGTTCTATTTAGTGGTTCTTTATAGTAGTATTACTAATACTTCTATTTAGTGGTTAGTTCATTTTCGAATACGAAATTCTGTTATCTTCTAATTCTTCTCCAGAAACTTTGAATATGAATCGTACAAATTTTTTGTTGATTTGTAGTTGCTTCTTGTAATCAGATGTTTACCTGGCCACGAAAAAACCTTATCACAACCAAATCTAATAATTTTCAGTAGTTTACCTTGCCAAAAAATCTGATTTGAAGAACTATTTGAAAACCTCTTTGAAAGAGTGTGTCAGTTGAAGCCCATTTTATTTACTCCTTCTAACTAGCAGAATCAATTTTTCTAATCTCTTTGACGTTTTAAATTTCTTAAAAGTTTTCTTTGTTGAACTTCGCTTGCAGATTTTGTCTGACGCTTCTTGATTTTGTTTTAAAAAGTCTTTGCATATAACAGAAACTGTTGTTCATGTGTCTTTGCCTGTGACCGAACTTCTCATTTTCTAGAAAAACAGCAGCTAAATAAATGCATCAAGAATTTTTGCGTCAGAAATCCAGACACAAAGGGTCAGAAAGTAACAAATTTCGAGATGCAATTTAATTTTTTGCTCATCTGGTAGAAATCAGATATGAAAAACTTGAAGCTGACACGCACATTTGTAAAAAAAAAACTTTCGCTCCAAAGCGTACTTTTTACTTTCTATTTGGTTTGTTTCACTTATCAAATAAAACAAGGTAACATATTGTAAACTAGAGTTTCATTGGTCGAATTAAGAACGAAAAAACGAATTGATCACATGTATTTCAAAAGACTTTAATGACACAAAAATCACGAATTTCTTCGTGTATGCGCATATGAAAACGAGCAGTGCTACCGACTACTTTGTCTTTTAATTTCAAAACATAGATGAAGCAGAAAGGAAGGGAGTCGGTCGTATTATGTTCGTACTACTCAATTTTTTACCTTTGATAATTGATATTACCACAACATATGGGCTTTTAAAAGTTTATCGCCAAAACTATTCCATAACGATCAAGGGGCAGTAGGAACAATCCGGGATTTGAACTGATATACGAGCAGTGTAGTTGACTATCAGATTTAAATCAATGATTTTTTTTTAAGTTTGAGGGGATAACAGAAAACGAAAAGGATTGGTTTTTGACAACAGCTATATTTGAAAATCCAGACTGTTATTCGTGAGTCGAGGCATTTCTCACGCATATTGCTAATTATACTTCCCACGCATACCTTTAATTGTTCCAACTAAGGAAAACAGGTAGGAAGTTTTTATTCGGTTGTTTTAGATTTTTATCAATCATCACGGGAATGGGTCAAGTTATATATCAAACAAAAGACCTTTCAGCCGTGATTCGAACGAAACTTTAAACAAAAAAAATCCCCTAATACCGAGAAAGGCTAGTTTGAAAATTTTGAGATTTAGTCTAATTTCGAAGAGTGACGCGTGTTGAAAATTTGTTTTGCTAAGGTTTTTAGGAGTTTACTTTGAAGAAAACTAGTTTGGGATGGTTTTAAGCGTTTAGTTGGCAAAAATTTTTCTAAAAAAAATTACGATAGTTGTGCAAAAAATTAGAAAAAATTTTAACTTTATTTCATTTTCTCTTTGTTAGTCAGTTTGAAGACCGATGTAGTCGATTAAACCTAAATCAGTTTCTTTTTACGCGTTTGTATAATTCTTGAGTCGCACTATCCACTAAACACGATACTAATTTGAAGGAAGTAAAAAAATATCTTTTTCTTTTATTTAAGAATATGGTCGGTACAATCTGTATTACTGGTACAAAAACTGGCTATCCTCGTTGGTATTTCTGCATCTGATTATTGCCAATGCCTAATTTTCTTTGCGATAAAAAATGATTTAAAAAGTCATGTCTAAATTAGTCACTTGTCATGCCAAATTTCGTTAAATTATGAGAATGTTAGTTTTAGGAAAGTAAATTCTAACGTGGGAAGCGAGTGAAAATAGCTTGACTCGAAATCAGAAAAACTACTCACCGTAGCTTGCACTAAATCTTCTTGAATTTTTTGTTTTCTAGATATATTAGTGTAACTTTTGTAAAACCTCTCAAAAAGTGCATGTCAGCTGAAGTCAATTTTTTAAATTCTGCTTCTTCTAATTGACAGGATCAGATTTTTTGTTTTTTTTTCTCAATGATTCTTCAGCTTTCTTAAAAATTTTCCGAAATTAACTTCGTTTGCAGATTTTTGTCTAAGGCTTTTTGATTTTGTTTTAAGAAACCTGTAAAAATAACAAAAAGTTTTGTTCTTGTGTCTTTGCCTGTGACCGAACATCTCATTTTCTAGCAAAACAGCAGTTAATTAACGCATCGAGAATTTGTGCGTCGGAAATTCAGGGTCAGAATGTGAACAATTTTCGAGATTCAGTTTAATTTATTGCTCATCTGGTATAAATCAGATATGAAAAACACGAAGGTAACACGCACATTTAAACAAAAAACTTTCGTTCAAAAGCGTATTTTTTACTTTCTATTTCCTTTGCTTGACTTATCAAATGAAGCAGTAACATATTGTCAACTAGAGTTTCGTTGTTCAAATTAAGCACGAAAAAACGAATTGCTCACATGTGTTTCGAAGGACTTTAATGACACAAAAGACACGAATTCCTTCAATTGATAACGACCATATGATAGCGAGCAAGGCTATCGGCTATTTTGTTTTATGTTCAAAACCTGGAGGGAGCAGGAAGGAAGCGAGTCGGTCGTATGATGTTCGTACAATTCAATTTTTTACCTTTCATAGTTGATATTGCCACAACGTATGGATTTTTGAAAATTTTTTGCCAAAACTGTTCTATAATGATCAAGGGGCAGTAGGAACAATCCGGGATTTGATCTGATTTACAAGGAGTGCAGTTGACTTTAAGATTCAATTGAATGATTTTTTTTAAGTTTGAGGGGATAACAGAAAAGGAAAAGGATTGGTTTTTGACAACAGCTATATTTGAAAAGCCAGACTGTGATGCGTGAGTCGAGCCACCTCCCACGCATTTTGCTAATTAAACTTCTCACGCATACCCTTTAAGTGTTCCAACTAATGAAAACAGGTAGGAAATTTTTTTTGGTTGTTTTAGATTTTTTAAGAATCATCGCTGGAATGGGTCTAGTTATATATGAAACAAAAGGCCTTTCAGCCATGATTCGTACAAAACTTGTAGAAATATAAATCTCCTAGAATCGAGAAAAACTGTCTTGAAAATTTTGAGAATTAGTCTAATTTCGAAGAGTGACGCGTGATGAAAAAATTATTTGTTTAGGTTTTTAGGAGTTTACTTTGAAGAGAACTAGTTTAGGATGCTTTTTTGGCGTTTAGTTGGCAAAAACCTTTTCTAAAAATTTTTTTGAAGTAATTGTGCAAAAACTTGAACTTTATTTCATTTTCTTTTGTTAGTCATTTTTTGAAAACCAAGGTGTTCGATTAACGCTAATTTACTTTTTTGCTACGCGTTTTTATAACTCTCGAATCTCACTATCCTCAAAACACGATACTAATTTGAAGAATTATGATAGTCGGTTCAATCTGTGCTACTGGTACAAAAACTGGCACCCTCGTTGTTACTTCTGCAACTGATTATTGCCATGTGCCTAATTTTTTTGTGATAAAAATTAATTTAAAAAAACGTGTCTAAATTAGTCATTTGCCATGCCAAATTTCGTTAAATTACAATGTTAATTTTTAGAAGCTGAATTATAATGTGGCTTGCGAGTGAAAATAGCTTGCCCCGAAATCAGTTTTACATTACCTAAAAATAAACAGAATTAAAAGAAAAAATTGCTCACCGTAGTTTGCACTAACTCTTCTTGAACTTTTTATTTTCTAGATTTATCATTAGAACATTTGTAAAACCTCTGAAAAAGTGCATGTCAGCTGAACTCCATTTTTTTACTCTGCTTCTTCCAATTGACAGTATCAGAGTTTTTGATTTTTTTCTCAATGATTTTTCAGCTTTCTTAAAAATTTTCCGAAATGAACTTCGTTTGCAGATTCTTGTCTAAAGCTTTTTGATTTTGTTTTTGAAAACCTGTAAAAATTGTTGTTCTTGCGTCTTTGTCTGTGACCGAACATCTCATTTTTTAGAAAAACAGCAGCTAAATAACGCATCGAGAACTGTTGCGTCAAAAATCCAGGGTCAGAACGTGAACACATTCGAGATGCAATTTAATTTATTGCTCATCTGGTATAAATTAGATATGAATAGCACGAAGGTAACACGCACATTTAAACAAAAAAACTTTCACTCCAAAGCGTATTTTTAATTTTCTATTTCGTTTGCTTGACTTATCAAATAAAGCAAGGTCACATATTCTAAACTAGAGTTCCATTGTTCAAATTAAGCACGAAAAACGAATTGATCACATGTGTTTTAAATGAAAACGAGCAGTGCTACCGGCTACTTTGTCTTTTAATTTCGAAACATAGATGAAGCAGAAAGGAAGGGGGTCGGTCGTATTATGTTCGTACTACTCAATTTTTTACCTTTGATAATTGATATTACCACAACATATGGGCTTTTAAAAGTTTATCGCCAAAACTATTCTATAACGATCAAGGGGCAGTAGGAACAATTCGGGACTTGATCTGATATACGAGCAGTGTAGTTGACTATAAGATTTAAATCAATGATTTTTTTTAAGTTTGAGGGGATAACAGAAAACGAAAAGGATTGGTTTTTGGCAGCAGCTATATTTGAAAATCCAGACTGTTATTCGTGAGTCGAGGGACTTCTCACGCATATTGCTAATAATACTTCCCACGCATACCTTCAATTGTTCCAACTAATGAAAACAGGTAGGAAGTTTTTATTCGGTTGTTTTAGATTTTTTATCAATCATCACGGCAATGGGTCAAGTTATATATCAAACAAAAGACCTTTCAGCCATGATTCGAACGAAACTTAAAACAAAAAATCTCCTAATACCGAGAAAGGCTGGTTTGAACATTTTGAGATTTAGTCTAATTTCGAAGAGTGACGCGTGTTGAAAATTTGTTTTGCTAAGGTTTTTAGGAGTTTACTTTGAAGAAAACTAGTTTAGGCTGGTTTTAAGCGTTTAGTTGGCAAAAATTTTCCTAAAAAAAATTAAGATAGTTGTGCAAAAAGTTAGAAAAAATTTTAACTTTATTTCATTTTCTCTTTGTTAGTCAGCTTGAAGACCGATGTAGTCGATTAAACCTAAATCAGTTTCTTTCTACGCGTTTGTATAATTCTTGAGTCGCACTATCCACTAAACACGATACAAATTTGAAGAAAATAAAAAAAAATATTTTTCTATTATTTAAGAATATAGTCGGTACAATCTGTGCTACTCGTACAACAACTGGCTATCCTCCTTGACACTTCTGCATCCGATTATTGCTAAGTGGCTAATTTTTTTGTGATAAAAATTGAAACAAAAAACCTGTCCAAATTAGTCATTTGACATGCCAAATTTCGTTAAATTATGACAATGTTAGTTTTCAGAAACTATATTCTAATGTGGGAAGCAAGTGGGAAATGGCTTGAATTGCAATCTTTTTTACATTACCGAAAAACAAACAGAATTAAAAGGAAAAACTACTCACCGTAATTTGCACTAAATCTTCTTGAGATGATTGTTTTTTGGCTTTATTATTCGACAAAAAGTCACACAAACGTTTTCAAATGAGTGCTCAAAACTAGCAGCTTGGTAGAAAGTTGGTTAACTAGCACGTGACGTGTATACCAACTATTATAAAACGCAGTCCATCCAAAAACTCATTCAAAAATGACAAAACTTGAAACTCTGGTAACGCACATGTGATGTTTAAGCTCGTCAAACAGCTTCATTTTGTTCACGTCATTTATCATTGATTGTAACTTTAAAAAAATAACTGCTCGCCAGCAAGATTAGTCCAAAATTGGTTTTTTCAACCTCATAAGAACTCTAATTATTTTTCTTACTTTCAGTGCAATGTGAGATGATTTAAGTAACTTACGCTGATTAACCTATCAACAACCATCGCGTAAACTATTGTCACACGTTTTGATCTCCAGATTTAGCACTGCTTCGACTTCATGCACCAGAGTTAGCTGATCTAAGCCCTCAATACTGCAGTATAGTATTTACTTTTAGATCTAATCATGGTACCTTTTCACAGGTCCCACAAAAATCAGTCCCATAAAGTCCCAAATTAAGAAACCGTCTTATATATCGCAAACGTTTTCAATTGGTCAAACATTTTCAATGGATCATGATTGGTTAGTTCTAAGTATTTTACAGTGAGAAAAATTAAATCATAAAAAAATGCTTGTTCTAAACTGATTCCAGACTCCTACTCTCTATTGGCAAGCACGCAACACGGTCGCGCGACTGCAAGGGTTACTAAATCTGCCGTTTATGTTGTTTGAATAATAAAGAGTTAATTTATCTATTCGATGAAGATTTTTTAGAGACTTATAGGAAAACTTTCAGTTTAGTTCCTATGACATTTGGGAGCTATGGGCTTTTCTCCTATGATACTAAGAGTAAAAGGATAAAAAATTAGGAGTAAATTTCAGTTTTGAACCAAAAATATCACGAAAAGATTTTTACTTGCTTGCAAACTTCTTGACAATATTTTGCAGACTCTCAAAATAACTTTGTGCAACAGCAATCAAGTAACTTAATGTGAGAGTTGTATAATTTATGCATTTCAAAACTGTACTAAGCCATTCCAATTTAAAGTTTTTCAGGGGACCGATCGCTTAGCAGACCAATATTTTAGCATAAAAAGTGAAAAATGAGTCTTTTAGCAGACCAACGAAATAAAGTGATAGATGATTGATTGACAGACTCAAAAAGACGCTCAGTCTGGGGCCAGGCTTCCCCAACTAGACCAATTATCTCACGATTTGTCAACAAAACTATCAACTTCAAAAACACAGCAGTCTAAATTAGCGGCAAAACAAAGATTTACGCGCACAATAACACTCGTGTTGAATAGAAGCGCAGCGGAGCAAGCGGTCGCTAATCGCCAATGCTGCATTTGAAGTTAGCTATCACACTTTATAATTGTTCTGAGTCTGCTAAAAAACGGTGGGCTAAAAAACCGGTCTGCTAAAATCCCTATACCCAGTCTTACAATATGTACTTTTAGTGTATTGATCAGTTCCTTTTGTTTCGCACGCTATCTATTTTTTATTCGTCGTAAGGTTTTTGTGATAGGGCATTACAACTTTATAAGCATATATATGGGGCTTTAAAATGAAAAAATAGATCAATCAAGTAAGATGATTTTAAAATAAGTAAAGATGATAAATCTCTAAGCAAAACTGAATTTTAGGATGAAAAGAACGGTTTTTTCATCCAAAAATTCAGTTTTGTTTATAGATTTATCACCTTTAGTTATTTTAAGATCGTCTTATTTGATTGTTTTATTGTTTAACGTTTGTTCTATTGTTTATTGCTTAACGTTCTATAGATAGCGTGCGACACAGTGGCATACAGTGCTGATTTAAATTAACCGGACAAAACGCGTGAAGCTTGAAAATTAAAACGCGTTTTTCTTAAATTGGGTTGAGTTTAGATGAAAACTTATCAAGACAAAACTTATCAAGACAAAGAATTAATATGGTGTAATTTGTTTTGCGAAATTCGGGCCCAAAAATTTATCCCAAAAATTGGTCATTTTGGCTTTTCTTAGTTAATCAAAAATAACGCCACAAAAAACCGTCGATCACAAACACAATTATATCAAAGTGAGCCCCTTTCGTAGCTCAACAAACTTTGTAGGGATCATTTGTAGCGAACGTCTGGACATGAGTCTGGTACCTCGACCCAGGAATGTCATGATTTTATATATATTGAAAGTTTATCCTGAACTCATTGCAAGTCTAACTTATAATATTTGGTCAATACTTCATGAGACTTTAAACAACATTTAAAACACAATCAGCCTAATTGGACAGATAATAGAATTCAGAACTTGGAACGACCGTAAAGTTTGAACGAACGATCAAGCAGTTAAGAGTTTCGGGCGAATCAAGAGTTAAGGGCGTGCTCAACCAGTCTACGATTGACAGGTCAATTCGATAGAATCTAGTAGTGGGGTTAAATTGGGCTATGAGTAGACGGCCAATCGGTGGAGTCCTTTGTAATCGACCGAACGAATGATGGAAATCTACGTTCAGCCGATCAGATTTGTAACTAGGAGCAAAATCTATCATTTTTTTACTCTGTATGGCATGTGGGGGAGATGATTTTCATAGAAAATTTCAAATTTTAGGAATTTTTTTTTCTTTTTGTTTCATTTCATTTAATTTTTTCATGTTATTACTGCTCCACAGATCTTAAGAGGCAGTCGGAGCATTCAGGGCCTAGCCCTAATACTAGAAGTTTTGTTGTAATTTCAAATAGAAACTTTAATAGTAGTCATTCAGATTTAAGTGAAGGAGTAAAATTGAAACACTGCAAATTTCAATAAAGGAGACTGGTGGCTATTCTCATGATGCAGGGACCGGCTCTTTCCCCCCCCTCCCCCCACCTCACACGACCTTCAATACATTAGTGCAACGAGTGGTTTTACGAGGTTGAGTATGAAGACTAAATATGTTTGTCGTGGCCTTATTAGTCTGTATATAAACTTTCATAGCAATCGGACAATGTAGTCAACAAATTTACATGTAAAAATTTGCAGGTGGGGGGGGGGGGGAGGAAAAAGAGCCCAGAGACCGAATGCGGAAAAAATTTGAACCCATCGGAATAGCTAAACGTTAGCTTGTCTATATTGAGGTGAGCTGCTCTATCAGTGAGTTAATAAGACTAGGACCACGAAAAAAAAAACAGAAAACAAGGGCAGGTTTAGATAAAGACTCCAGTCCATGGCAGCGTTGAATAATTCTGTCTTCAGCGAGCAAGAAGAAATTGACAACACACCAGTGTTCCTCAGCTGTGAACTTTCTCCGAGGGAAGCAGCCGTAGAAAACGCAACTCTACAAAAATGGCGCGAGCTATTTGCAAGCGGTACGGAAAATAGAGCAAAGAATCTCTAATGGAAAGCTCCTAATACAGAGAAACTAATAGCGGCTTAGCTCCAGCACTCAGATCTAGCAAAGAATGATTATAAATCTAGCAAAGCCGGTCACGGTTGGAGGGGTCCCATTGTCATCCGCCTCCTCAAGAAGGTGGGACCGGCTGCGGCAAAATGGATGACAGCTCCACCTCCCCCACGGATGGTCCTGCACTTAGCAGGCCGGGGGCTAATAAAAAAGAATGATTAGATATATATGCCAGCATCCTTTCATTCAAAGCACGAAGCTTTCATGACTTCAATAGAAGACGGGACTTCAAATTGGACTTCAGCGATCATATGCCATACAGAGCAAGGGTTCATTTTCAGTCAAAGGAGTCGTACTTGTGTGGCAAACGACATGAATCTGAGATTGAATTCTAGATTTGCCTACTCCAAAGATAGATTGAAATTCATCCGTGATCATATAATTGAAGAGCCTTTCATACCGTACTGCTTCAACAATGTCGACGTAATGATCGAAATTTGGTTTCAAAGATATTACGAGGTACTTGTTAACCCAGCCCATTTCATACCAAATATCGTTTGTCGCTGGCACCGTTGGGCTTACTTCTTACTTCTGATTCAATCAAAATTCAAGCTACTCGAAAGAAGAACTACCAGAAAATCTTAGTAAGCTTCAGGTAAGCTTCTACGCTCTATAGGATGGAAAATTGCAAGCGAATTTGACGCATGCCTTAATTAGAGATCAGTAAGCTCATAGGGCTTACTTCTTACTTCTAATTCAATCAAAATTCAAGCTACTCGAAACAAGAACTACCAGAAAATCTTAGTAAGATTCAGGTAAGCTTCTAAGCTCTATAGGATGGAAAATTGCAAGCGAGTTTGACGCATGCCTTAATTAGAGGTCAGTAAGTTCATAGGGCTTACTTCTTACTTCTAATTCAATCAAAATTCAAGCTACTCGAAACAAGAACTACCAGAAAATCTTAGTAAGCTTCAGGTAAGCTTCTAAGCTCTATAGGATGGAAAAATGCAAGTGAATTTGACGCATGCCTTATTTAGAGGTCAGTAAGCTCATAGGGCTTACTTCTTACTTCTAATTCAATCAAAATTCAAGCTACTCGAAACAAGAACTACCAGAAAATCTTAGTAAGCTTCAGGTAAGCTTCTAAGCTCTATAGGATGGAAAATTGCAAGCGAATTTGACGCATGCCTTAATTAGAGGTCAGTAAGCTCATAGGGCTTACTTCTTACTTCTAATTCAACCAAAATTCAAGCTACTCGAAACAAGAACTACCAGAAAATCTTAGTAAGCTTCAGGTAAGCTTCTAAGCTCTATAGGATGGAAAATTGCAAGTGAACTTGACGCATGCCTTAATTAGAGGTCAGTAGGTTCATAGAAACGAATTTTTCGAAGAAATGATGAAGTGCACAAATACTTTATTAATGTTCGAAGATCTGAAGGCATGCTTAGTTAAATTCAACGGGACTTGTGACTTGTTCGGGCATATAGCTTCTTTTGGCGATTAAAACTATCTTATATAATAGTAAACAATTTCAGAGACAAATCTGAATGATAATAGTCGGTTGCTCAGCAAAGACCACAAGATTCTCATAACAAAAATGGAGGAAAAAAGCCAATGAAATCAA